GTGCGTTGCAATAGAATACCAGATTGAACCACGCTAGCTGATCAAAACTTACGCTATGTTTTGCTCATATAGACATATCACCATGCCATTCCTAACCAAAGTGGGAAGACAAGCGTCATCTAGGCTTTATGATAACTCCATGTATTAAAACCACTTACCATAAGCAAAATTACCAATCCCTGCTATTTCGCCAAACCCCAAACCATAAACAGTAAAAATTCCAGTACCAGCACAAACCACGTATCAGCAGCATCATTATGATAAAGATTAACATGAGCTCCGCCTATACCAATAGGAGCGCCATAACCACATTCAAACCGAACATAGTTACCCTGATTCACTAATGATACAACATCAATATTAGAATTTAACCAAGCTGAACCGGTCATTCCTCCCATAGTAGCACCACCCCCTGGTCCATTATACTGTAAATAATCACCTTCAGTGTTCATATAATCATAAAAAGAGAAATAAACACCCGCGTACCCAATACCAACTGTAACAAAATGAATATGATAGCAAAAAGCAGAACTACCTTTAACTAATTTTAGATCATTATCATAACCAGGATATTTCGGATAATTACACGCAGCTAAACTCCTTTTTGTATTACTATTAGTAGACTCCCAATAAATAAGTTCAGCCTTTCTGTTTTATTTTTTATCATTTTACCTCTTATCAAAAGGCACAAACTCCCTTTGAACATACCCAGTATATAATTGCCGAGGTCTGCTAATTTTTTGTTCAGGATCTTCATGCATCTCTTTCCATTGCCCCATCCAACCAACAGTTCTAGCTATAGCGAAAAGCACAGTAAATATTTGGGATGGGGGGGTTATCCATTGCCTGATAAATAATACCAGAAATCAACGTTTGGATAAAGTTTGCGATCAATAAAAAATTACTGGCAACATACTAGAAATTTAGCAGAGAAGAAAAAACTAAAGAAGGTGGTTTAGAGGTGGTGGGCGATGAGAGACTTGAACTCCCGACATTCTCGGTGTAAACGAGATGCTCTACCAACTGAGCTAATCGCCCTTTGTAATTGACAACAAATGTTAATCTTAAACTATATTATAGTTATTGTTTTGTACAATTCATCTAATAAAGTTGCAAATTTAATTTTTTCAAAATTTTTTCTG